AGAAAACAAACACAAAACAAACCAACATCCATTCATGACATAACATTGGTTGACTTCCCTCCATCTCGGTTTTGGGCTATGTAACCACAATACCTTTCTGCAGTATCATTTTACAACATCTATACATCGCAGGCTTTATGTTACACCTACTGTGATTTTAATATTTCCTAAATTTGCTTCTATGTATATAAAATTGTTCCAATCGTTAATAAATTTCACACTTTTTTGATGCCTGATTTTTTGTGTCATCTTTGCTAATTCTATATACTCGAATAATTTAATTTGCCATTCTCTAACAGTTGGGGTATTAGGGGTTTTCCAATTTTGCGCTAGCAATATCCTGGCGGCTACCGTTGCGTATTGGAACATTGTTTGGTCTTCCTTCTTGATCTCCTCTCCGACCATTCCCAGGAGGAAGGCTTCGGGTTTTGGGGGGAAGGTATATTTCAATATTTTTTTTAATTCATCATAAATAAGTCCCCAAAACCTTTTCACTTCTTCACAAGTCCACAACATATGGTGGAAATTACCCTCTTTGGTTTTGCATTTCCAGCATGTTTTGTCTCCGGTCTTATACATTTTTTCCAATTTCACAGGGGTGATGTACCATCGGTGAAATTGGAAAAAATGTATGAGACCGGAGACAAAACATGCTTTTATCTCTTCATCCTTAGTATCCCAATCTAGTAATTGGTTATACATTTTGGATAAGAGTTTGGAATTACCTTCTAGTATTTCCACCTGGTATCTGGACTTTTTCTCATTCATCCCTGTTTTTTTATGTTCGTTCAATAAGGCATTAATTTGGTGAAATTGTAGCCATCCTGTTAATTTATCCTTTAAATCTTCATATGTTCTGATTTTCCATCCTTTACCTGATCATACCAGGAGGTCTTCATAGGTCCATCTTTCACTTTCCATGTTTAATTTTTTGATTGTTAGAATATCAATTGGTGATAGCCACCAGGGGGTGTCTTTTTCTATAAGTCTTTTATTTCTATCCCATAACTCAAGCAACGCTCCTCTGATGATATGGTTAGAGAAGCCTTTATGTCCATGAGTATTTTATTAGAATGAGATGCCTTGAAAATTGCAGAATGTTCAAAGAAAGATAAAGAACGACATCCACTTAAATGGTGTAGCAGACATCTTCAGGTAACAAGGAGACCAGTTCCTTATTGGCACAAGCATGCTCAAATAAGAAAGGACGGGGTGGGGGAAGCATTGTCAGTTTTGTGGATGAGTTAAGATGTACGCAACACAAAGCCCTCTACAGAACTCCTCGCCCCACCCTAGGGCCCTAAATACCGGTACTTGATCAACGTAATCGAGGAACAGATTCCAAGGAAATGAGGAATTGGATGATCTCTCTTACTACAGAGGGTGGGAAATTTTGGACAGTCCATAAATCGGACATTCTAGGAATGTTATTGTGCGGTGACCAAATTCCTCCATCAAATTAACAAAACTTTCCAGCTTCTGAAATGTCACTGCGAGAAAAGTCATCATTTTACTGCACTCCCATATATAAATTAATTTCCTGGCTTCCATTATATTAGCCCTTTGGTATTTCCCTTGCATATTAACCTACACCTGTAACTGCACTGAGTATGTGAGTGAACTCCAATTTAGCGGCTCTTACCAGTTACCCTTTTGGGTGACATTTAATTGGTCTAATTTTCTCCACCACCTTCAATGATCTGAAAGATTTATGCAGCGTTTGATACAATGCTGAGCTTGCTCCAAGAATGCCAAGTACTTCTCATCCTGGCACATAGCAATGTACACTGGGTAAGATTAATGTGTGAATTATGGGTACACAGCTCCTGTGAGCACAAGCAATATGATTTCTGCCAACATTACTCCATTCCTTAATGCATAACATTAAGCATTTCAAGCTTCATTTCTGGTTGTCACTGATGAATAACAGTCTTCTAGCTCTCTGCTCTGATGATGATGATAATGCTTTTAATGTGGTCAGTCTTAGCATTTAATGGGCATCCATTGCTCTGTAATGAGAGGCCACGGTTACACAGCCATATAACGCTGTAAGTGCTTGCAGGCTCTTTCGACTGGCTCTCCTTCTTAATGCACATTATACTCTGCAAATGCTCCTTAAAGGTTATGTGTACAGATCCTTTCAGGCAAGTTTGTTCTGGATCCTGGTAGGATGCAGTTAATCACGACAACCATATCTTTATTACAGTGACTAACAAAGCAGAATTTTTAGATTTTTTTCTAGCAAAACACTTTGGCTTCCACCTTCATCAGTTGCTCGGATAAAATGGATGCTGTTTCCAATGTGACAGATAAAGAGATTTGAGGCTGGCATACTCAGGGGGTCTTCATTTGCTGATCTTGGTACACCCCTCGAGGTCATGGGGTGTTAGTGCGTCCATTGTGTGCATCCAGAAGCAGTTATTGGTAAGTCCAAGAGGCTATGGTTCTCAGAATTAGATTGCAACAGATTGCTCCACATTTTTCTTTTGGTCAAAATCACCAATTTGTTGTTTTTAAAATGTGCATAGGTCAGTTGTAGCTTTATCCAGTGTTTTTTTTCCTGGGGGTATGCAGGGGTACACATACCCCTAAACATTCTGTGAATCTAATGGGAGAAAAAACTTTTTTTTTAATGGTTTCTTCTCTAGCACTGTGAATTGTCAGTTCCATTGCTACCCCTTTTCGTTGTTACCACCTCCAATGGCGGTTTCATTTCCTTTTCCAGTGTTTCCTGAGTCTCAGACGGAAGCGAGCATTTAATGTGTGAAGCAGTGTGGAAAGTGAATGTGTGGTATTTCCCCTAATTTGAACTATAAAATGGTGATTTTCTTGAATCATAATGAGAGTGCCCCTAAACAGTTTTAAAGAAAAAAAGCACTCGCTTTATCTATGTACTGGATATGTCATACCCATATTTTGAAGTGCAAATAAAAGGATGCTATGACGGCCATTCAAAGCAAAGAAATGCAATTTGTCTCAAAAAAAGAGAGGAGACAATGTAACCCTAGTCGCATGACACACTTTTCTGCATTTGAAGATACTAAATGTATTACATGACCTGCAGGTGATGTCCTGTTTGATGTAGTATGTTCTACCCATCCTGGTGCTTTAGAAGGTAGCTTTCTCCATGAGAAACACATGGGTTGTACAGCATTTGGAATTACAAGGATGAGATCCTTAATTGCTGATAGATGGCGTAAGTACATCTCTCACTAGTAGCTTGTAGCTTGGACAGATTTGGTTGTTGGTGAAATGGTGTGATAGGAGAATTGAACGGCTTGGGGCAAGCTGTGGTGGGAGAGGGTGTGGGATGAGATTAGCTGTGAAGGGAGGTCTGGGTAAGCTGTGAGGGGATAAGGTACAGTTTTGGTCATTTCAGATAGTCTGGCTAAATTAAAGTCCATTTCAATGGCACTACTCTGAATATAAATTAAATTGAATGCTACCCATTGTGTGCACATATCTGTTCCATCTGCAGCTGAAAGGGTCAGTATTACAGATGCAAACTGGGTTTACCAATAAAAAAGAACCATTTAAGCTCCTTCTTCCCATGTGGAATGTGGATCAGGGCCAATCTGACGCAAAAATGGAGGAAAACATTCACCCATCAGCAATTAAGTCACCTCTCTACTCCACCTGCTTTAATATAATACTATTTGAATATAAATGCTGATTGACTTTAATCGCTCCATCTCACCATTCTCCCATGGCTCAATTTCTGCATATCTCTTCTTCTTTTTTGCTTTTAAAGAAAATAGCTGGAAGCAAGATTTTTCACCTGCCAATTTTCTATTGGAATGTCTGCTCTGAGATGGCAAAGAATCATATTTCCAACCCATAGCTGTGGAATACATCTACTTCCTATTATTCACAAAGAGAGTGAAGACTAGCACTTGATTGACAGTTGCTAATACTTTAATTGACAAGCCAAGGCGAGACGGCACATGTGATTTTGTCTGTTTTACAAAAGGGAAAGAGATAGCTGATTCAGATTGCTCTAATTGGAACATAACATAGTAGTATAATGGCTGTGCATGGGAAAGTGATTTTGCCTTTTACTAAATGAGCTCAGCAAGGATGATAAAAATGACAGCATTGGTTTAGCAAGCTCAGGCTTTTTAAAAATGGGACTAAGGCTGATTGACAGAAAGGAGGAGCTGACATTATTTTGTTTACCCTTCTAAGATGCCATGATGTTGTAGAGAAAATAGTATTTTGAAAAACCAAGTCTCTTGAGGTTACGGTAGGAATAACAAAGTGAATTGGAGAGTGGCTGGAAGAAAGAAGCAAGGATCTATGATTTATGCAGCAAACTTTGGCTAAAAGATAGTCACTTGTGGACTCCATTAAGTCACATTGGTTAATCTTTTATTTACACTGTGGATCAGGGCATCTATCTTTATCCAGATAATACATTGCAGCAGGATACCATCCCATAATGTATTAGCAGCTGGAACTTTGCAAGACCACCAATTTTAGTTCTCGTTTGATAGATCTGAGGAATGCCACACCATTAGGAACTTGGCAATTGCCTAGATTTAAGCTGTTTCAAAAGGCATTTGCTGTGCTTTGATGGATCATGGATAAAACACAAGCTTTCTCTTAGGAAAGAGAACTCACACAATCACACAGAGCTCATTTTGTCCATTTCGCCAGGATATGATTTCCTGTGCTGTTATAGATCCGTCTACACAGGGATGGGGATGGGCCAATGATTTCAGTCTGTATACAACAGCTTCCTATTTTTGATGCAAGGCTTTCTTTCTCCTGGGCCTTTATCATTAATGTTCTGGTCTGACCAGCCAGCCAGGCACCACCCTCCGATCAGGACCTATGATTGGCCCATTCAAATTTGCCCTCTTTGGTGGGAAGACTGCTCCTGATACTGCTGGCCCTGGGGAATCCCCCCAGCAGTAGCCAGTGAGCGAGCATAGTCTGGTTTCTGAGGAAGAAGACAGAGCATGAAGGAGTCACAACCATTGCTGCCCCCCCCCCCGGACATGGTAAGTAGTCATTGCTTTGTCCTGGCTTTTGGGAGGAGTTGAAGATTGTGATTAGAGTTGCCATATCTTGAAGAGCCACTGCCAGTCTGAGCTGTAGAAAGAGGCACAGGGGTATGGAGGGCTACAGTTATCGCGCCTGCACGTCTCTTTCCCCAGCTCGGACTGGCAGCAGCCGAGGCATGAAGAGCAGCCTGATTCTGAGCTCAAGCCCTCCCACCCCCCCCCAATGGACATTTCCTCTAACATGTAAAAATCTGCCCAGATGGGCATGTTGTCCCCCCACAAGAGGATATATCTGGGTTTCCCCAGACGTATAGCAACCCTAATTGTGATGAGTCATTCAGTTATGATTTTATTTTACCTGCTTCAGTACAGTGGTACCTTGGTTTAAGAACAGCCCTGTTTACGAACTATTCGGTTTATGAACTCTGCAAAACCAGAAGTACAGTGGTACCTCGGGTTACAGACGCTTCAGGTTACAGACGCTTCAGGTTACAGACTCTGCTAACCCAGAAATAGTACCTCGGGTTAAGAACTTTGCTTTAGGATGAGAACAGAAATTGCGCGGTGACAGTGGGAGGCCCCATTAGCTAAAGTGGTACCTCAGTTTAAGAACAGTTTCAGGTTAAGAACGGACCTCCGGAACGAATTAAGTTCTTAACCCGAGGTACCACTATAGTGTTCCAGTTTGTGAACTTTACCTCGGTCTACGAACAGAAGCCGAATGGTGGAAGGGCACCAGTGATGGGAGGCCTCATTAGGGAAAGCACGCCTCGGTTTAAGAATGGCTTTGGTTTAAGAACAGACTTCCAGAACAGATTAAGTTTGTAAACTGAGGTACCACTGTATTTCATTTGACTCTGTTCATCTTATTGATTATTGTGGGAGGCGAGTTATTGGTTTGTTTTTGTTTTATTATGTATTTTGTGCTCTCATTTTGTATTTTTATGTTGTGAACTACCCTATGATCTTCAGATTCCGGTAGGTACCTATATACTAAATGAATGAATGAATGAATGAATGAATGAATAGTGTCCATCTGAGACCCTTTGGGTGGAGTAGAGTACAAGATCATGCTTTCTCCACAATCTCAATGCATTCGTCCTAAAATTATAGTAATTGGTTTTGTGTTTTGAAATGGAATTGAGCCTGGTTTTGCAATCTGTTTAAATCTCAGTGGTTAATCAAAATTCTTCAATTTCTGCTGCAGGACATTGTGTTTATGTTCTTCAAGTATAGACGCAATTCAAAATATATCAGTTGGAGAAAATCAGACCACATATTGAAATGTGATATTCTGTTAAGATATTTGGATTGTGAATTGTTGATCTTGACATTCAAATCCAAATCAAATTTACAACTTTCATCAGAAAATTCAAATAAACTTGAAGCAAACTTTTTGCCCCTCCCACACTTTTGCAGTGAGTTAGCACAACGTATTTCGACTTCCTTTTCCCCCCACACCTATTAGGAGCAAATAAATTATTGATTTGCTGTATATGGGAAGCAGCACTGAAATTGGCAGACCACAGAGAAAGGAGCAAATTAACATAACAACACTGTTGAGTACATTACCTTCCTTGCAATGTGTTTCAGATCAGAACATTTTAACAAGTACTGATGTAGTTTGGAGTTCTGAAGACATCGTCACTTAATTGTTTGGCTCACTTTGCACTTTCCCTTTCAATATACCTAAAAATACATTTTGTCTTGACATAGCAGACTGAAGACAATGGTGGAGAAAGAACTCCCCAAAGTGGTTGCGAATACAAGCAATGAACAAATGGATTTGAATTTATGTGATGCTTATGATGACATCTAGCATCTCTGTAGCACAGAAGGCCAAAGGGATTATATGTATGCACTGCTAATGCTCATGGAAACTCTTCTGTGAATATGCTTTTACATGCAGGAGTCTGAAAAAGCTGATATATCCTTGTATGAGGAATACTAATAACAAGGTTTCAAAGTTTTCTGTATTGGCCCTTTGGGGAGCTGTTGCTTTCTGACCACTTCAGAAATAGTGTAAAGCAGAATAAATTGAAGCTTTGTTATTCCCCCACCCACCCACCGCAAGCATTCTTATCACTTACAATGAAAATACAGAATACAAGAAGTGGGATCTGCAACATATAATAATAATAATAATAATAATAATAATAATAATAATAATAATATCTTTATTGTCATTGCACCCTTCGGGGACAACGAAATTACTTGACTGCTCCATAAAAACACTAATTAATCAATACAGTATAATACAGCAAGGGAGATTAGATGACTTTCAAAGTCCGGGCTTCCCATTCAGGGCCGAGATCGCTCTGGAGAAGAAGCTGTTCTTAAGACGGCTAGTTCTTGTCTTCATCGTCCTGTATCTCCGTCCCGACGGCAAGAGCTCGAAGAGACAGTGACCAGGATGCGATGGTGGAGAGCTCCAATATAATGTTGCTGTGTGCATCTTTCAGGATATTCAATTCCACCCCCAATTCCTATTTTTTGTGTGTGTTTTCTTTCTTTCTTTCTTTCTTTCTTTCTTTCTTTCTTTCTTTCTTTCTCAGACATCCAGCAGTCTGTGGCTACTGAGCATGCTCAGTCTTCATTTGACCTGTTTTGGAGGTCTCATGCCTCAAAGTTTTCCCCCACTAGAGATTTTTGTACTTCTGCAAACCTTTGGATCTTCCCAAGTTGATTGCTACCATCCTCTCGTGTGTGGCTGGTGTCATTTTGGCTATGTAGGGATTCACGCTGATAATGAGATCACTGCATAGAATATTACAACAAAGGAAGTAAAAATAAATATCAGCAACAGAAAAAAAAAAGATTGGAATAAAAACCAGGTGCTGGAGAAAACAACAACAAGATATACAATTAACATAATGAATGAATGAAACTTTATTTGCGTCGGCCATCGCTCATAGCAACAAAAGAACATTGCGATGTACACAGAACTAAATAAGAAGTTGATTATATAAAACACAGTATAGGGTACTGAATCAGCAATCAAATAGTGGACCTTATTCTGATTGCCCCATCTACAAACCTTGCAGCCTTTGCTGTCATCTGCTCCTCTTGATCTGCCAGGAGAAATGACACTGTGGCAGTGGTTGGGTGACCCGGAATGGACAATAAAAGAGGAGTGATAATCTCATTCCTCAGGTCTTTGTAAAGAATGCACGCCAGGAGGGCATGCACCACTGCCATCTCTGCAGGGACATAAGCGTTTTTCGTGTGGAATCTGTTGGAATCGTCCCTCAAGTACAGCCAAGGGCAGTACATTCAGTCTTGCAAGGGTAAAGGCACGTCTATATTTTGGAATTGCTAGATTATACAGATAGGGTGCCAAAGAATCAAAGTGAGAGGATGGAAAGTGGTCATACCATGGGCAAAATTTCCTTATTGTGGCCAAGTTGTTCTGATGCTCGATATCATTTAGGCGTTGGCAAATTAGACTGTTTGCTTTACTATAACCCACGGTGAGTAGCTGTTGTGGGGATAAACCACAAGAGTGAAGTTTTTGATTGACAATTTTAGACCAGACACTCTTGTGAAAGTCTTGTTGCACTAGGGATATTAGACCGGGTGGGGGGGGGGGTTGAGTTTAGGCGAAGCCAGAAGTTAAGTGACCTGCACCAAATCCATAATTCTACCGAGGGGAGATTGGCCTCTAGGTGCAATGATGCATTTGGAACACAGGATGGTACAATTAACATACCTGTGGGAATAGTAAGCTAAAATGACACCTAAGTAAGTGTCAGGTGATCCTCTCCTGGATGCCACCACATAAAAGTCACAGTCATCACACACTTCAGATGTGATGGTGGAGAAGGGGTACCCAAAGAGGACCTTTGTAGAAGTTCATATCAAAATAGAGAATTCAGCTAGCCCATTGTTTGCTCCAGGGGTAGGAAACCTCAGGCCTTAAGTTGGATGTTCAGGACCAACTGATGCATCAAGTATCATAGGATGATCCAGGAAGGCTTGAGGAATTCAGTCTTCGTGAATTGTTCTGCAAAAGGCTCCTTGCCCACACTTCATAGGCCGATGTGAATACCCAAACTTAGTTATCCACTCAGATTTTGCAGCTCTCCAAATATTGTGCGACACAGGCCTCATCAGCTTAAACGTATCAAAATACATATTTTAAGGCATATTTCTGAAATAAAATACATAATTTAATACATGCTAAATTAAATATGCATTTGGAGAAGATTTCTTTAAAGCAAACATTTGCAGATTAATGTGCCAATGGAGCAGAGCGGACAGATTCCTGGAGCTCAGAGTACTACCTCACTTAGCTTAGAGGAGTGGATAGAATAAACTTGCAGTAGCCACTGCCTTCAAGGTTTTCCCCAAAGGAGATGATAAAACATAAGCAGCGACATAAATGCCCCCCTGCCCATGATTAGGGGTGGATGTTAAAGCTAACAACATGCAGTATTCATCACTTTTGGAAAGGTTTATCACCAGACCAAAAACCAGATGTAATGCCTGGATGTTCTAATAATTGTAAAAGACTATATTCCCCAACCAATTTCATGAAAATTTGTGCTGAATGTTCATGTGGTGAAGTTATACCATGTGCAAACAGCATTTGGATTATTCCTTTACGTTGACCCATTTGGTTGATTTTTGGAGTATTAACCCAATGTTCATAATGTGTCCATTGACCATGGAAGCAATTTAGAACTTTCCAGTAGCTCACAAATACATGAGGTCATGAGTTTTCAGGGTCCAGGTCTGCCTCAACTAAGGTCTCTTTGTTTGGGTAGATTAATGGTTTTGAATAAGACTCTGCAATGCAGTTTAAGAATCTCTGTGGCTCACACTTAAATGCAAAACATGGAAGCATGAGAATGAAGTTATAGAGTATAAGGATGAAATATCCTTCCAATACAATGGGCTTGAAAGTCTTTATTCACATTTGTGACAATGTGCTTAACCCGGCATATAGTGTACTGTGTAAGCATCACTTGTTAGTGAACAGAGTACTATCTTATACGAGTTTATCTGGAATTAAGGCCCATTGAACTCAGTAGATATGAATAGGATGATGCCATCACTTACCAGTTTGGGGGGAAAAACCTCATATTCAAAGAAATGCAAGGGAAATCTATTGTGCTTGACCAGGATGGTTCCTATTGCTCTTCTTCTTCTTCTTTTTTACTATTGGATGTTAAGAGCCTATAATATACTGCAACTTGCTGTCCAGTATACTGAAAAACCAATAGCAATAAAACATAAAGCAGTTCAGTGCAATGAAGTTATTCATCCACAGGATCAACCCGTAAAGGACCATTTTCTTTTATTTCTGGCGCTGACTCACTTTTACTGAAGAACTTTGCCACTTATAGAAATGCACCTAAGTAGTAAATGCTTTGTAATGGTTCCCCACCGTGGATCCCTCATCATTTTTTCCTGAAGAATAAGCAGAGTTTTATAACTCATTGGAGCTACATTTTATGAACACAGCATGTGCAGAGCATATGGCAAAGTGAATTTGAAGCATAGGGTCTGGGGCAGATTTTTAATGTAGCCTCTGCTCTTCCCTCTTCTGCGTGGTGATGTGATTTTTTACCAATTCCCAGATCAGCCACTTCCAAGAATTATCTTAATACAGCAGGGGTTTTTTTTTTTATGAGTCAGTCTATTGTGTCAAATGTAACTTTCATAATGCTAAAGATACTTTTGTCCAGCCCACATCCAGTCTAGAAAGCTCTTTCACTGATGCATGGAATGCAATCCACAGTTTTGTTGAAAATGATTCCTTTCTGGTCCTCATGTCTGTCCTGAATTTCAGGAAGTACTGTGCTTTTTTTAGGTTGGATAAACCCAAAGTTTATTGCTCCTTTCTTTGCAGCTTCCTCTGTGATGAATTTCAGACTGGAAGCTCCTCAAGGAAAATACCTTTTATGTGGTATTAGGCAGCCTTCTCCAACATGGTGCCCTCCAAGTGTTTTGTACTAAACCTCCCATCAGACTGCTTGAGAAAGTAAAGATTTATAACAATTCCTGATGGTCAAAAATAAGGGGTCAAAGAAAGCAACATAGAACCTTTTCAGAGAAGAAGCAGTAAGATTTTAGCCTCCACACCCTATATTTAGATGCTGGTAGCTATGTCATAGGTAATTGTTTCAATGGGACGCGGGTGGCGCTGTGGGTTAAACCACACAGCCTAGGGCTTGCTGATCAGAAGGTTGGTGGTTTGAATCCCCACGACGGGGTGAGCTCCTGTTGCTCGGTCCCTGCTCCTGCCAACCTAGCAGTTAAAAAGCCCGTCAAAGTGCAAATAGATAAATAGGTACCGCTCCGGTGGGAAGGTAAACGGCATTTCCATGTGCTGCTCTGGTTTGCCAGAAGCAGCTTAGTCATGCTGGCCACATGACCCGGAAGCTGTATGCCAGCTCTCTCGGCCAATAAAGCGAGATGAGTGCCACAACCCCAGAGTCGGTCATGATTGGACCCAATGGTCAGGGGTCCCTTTACCTTTACCTTTAATTGTTTCAATATTACTATGTGTGTACAATGGGGACACCCACCTTACAGTTTAATAGCCAAACATTGTCCAATGGCTAGGTCAGTATTTTGTACAAAATTGATAAAAAATGGATGTTCAGTCATATTCAAAATCAGTTTTTCAAATGGTGTCAGTGGTCTAATTGCTTGGGATTTAACTGTTGAATTTGAGATAAGACATAGGATCATAGGATCTTAGAGCTGGAAGCAACTCAAGGGTCATCTAGTCCAACCCCCTATAATGCAAGAATCTCAGCTAAAGCATCCATGACAGATGGCCATCCAACCTCTGTTTAAAAACCTCCAAGGAAGGAGAGTCCACCACCTCTCCTGGGAGTCTGTTCCACCGCCGAACAGCTCTTACTGTCAGAAAGTTTTGTTGAAAGTTTAGTCGGAATCTTCTTTCTTGTAACTCAAGTCCTACCATGGGCGTAGCCAGGACTTTTTTTTGGGGGGGGGCCTATTAGGTGGGGACAGAACATCAGTTTGCTATGTCTTTTTATTGAATTTTATTGATTTGGGGGGCAAATGGCCCTCCCGCCCCCCCATCCCCTGGCTAGCCCATGAATCCTACCCTCCAGAGCAGGAGAAAACAAGCATGCTCCCTCTTCCATGTGACAGCCCTTAAGGTGCATTTGAAAAAGGCTATCATATCTGTCTCCCCTTTTCCATGCTAAACATACCCAGCTCCTTCAAGTGCTCCTCATCTGATGGATTAGTAGTCCAATCACATTACAGGGTGTTGTTGTTTTTTAACAAGATGCCAGGAAGACTCTACTCTACCTGCCACCCCAGATTTCTGAAATCTGCTTGGAGTCAATCTCTGGCCTGGAAAAAAACCACACACACTTTGCACACAGTCAGATTTACTCTTTCTAACTGTTACTTTCATTCTTACGGAGCTGAACCCTCACAAGATTTAACAAGTTCTGCAGGCGAGTCCAGGGCAAATTGTGCCTCAAATTGATACTTAAGGCCAAGGGACATAGGTTCATTATCTGCACTGGCATCATGGATAGTTGGGAAAAACCTTCGCTAATGCTTCTCTCTGAGGAATAGCACCGATTTCTATTTTTATTGTAAAAAAAATAATAATAAAATAAATTGCAGCTAAAATCACCTGGGGGAGAAAAGGGAAACCGGTGGCATGATAAACAAGCCATTAGCACAAAAGGCTCACTCTCTTCCACAGTCTCCCCTTTCTCTAGCTTTTCAGCACCAACTACTCGGCTCCGCAGCAGCTGCACCAGCTGAGCTGTGAGAAATATATATATTGCAGCCAATAACAACTGATGATAACCTTGACTGCAGCATATATCACCATGGCAGCCTTTGGCTTTGTAAAAGATCTGCGAGTGCAGGATTCCCTTGATTGCAGGAGGTGGAGAGGGAAGAGCGGGGGAGAGGGAGGAGGCGAGAGCTTAATTGAAAGTTCATTCTCCTCCTGTTCTCCCCGGGAATCCCGCTCCCGATGCTCTTTCTCTAACCCAAACAATCCAACCACGTCCACAAGGCACGCTCCATCCCTTTAATTCCGAAAGCCCCGTAGAGAGCATTCTGTAGGCAACGGCAGCGAGTGCCACTAGGTGGCGCTCGCCAACCACTTTTGGAGTTAGGCCGCTTTCCGTTCCGGCCAATATAACGCGCCTCCCTCCCGTCCTTGCGCATCTAATTCCAGACTTGATAGGGTATCCCTGGGAAAAGGAAAAGAAAAAAAGGGGGGCGCAGGAACCAAAGTTAATAAGGCATTTGCGCCTAAGCAACCCCTGTGTCCTGAGGTTTCTTTAAAGCGACAGCCCCTGTTCCCCGCTCACACGCTACAGCTACCCCTCTCTGTCCAGACCAGAAACGGAACTTCTGTAAACGAGCGACTTCCACGCCTCGTGACCGTGGCTGCTGCTTAGTCTTTTCCCGATATTTGCCAGCGTTCTTCTTCCGTGGCCGATCTTGACATTTGACGGTGGTCTGTGCGCAAGGGGAGGGCGGGGCGGGGAGGAAGAAGACATGTGGAGATCTACTTCTACCAGCTTCTGAGAGCGCGTTTCTTTTAAAGAAGACTCAAAAAGGATCGCTTCCTTCGTTCCGGGTGAAATTCAGCCTATGCCTGGCTCCAGGTAGCCGCTGTTTACAAGACATCGAGCAGGGGAAATTGACCGGGGGCGGCGGGGGAGGTTGTGTGTGTGTGCGCGCGCTGGAATTTGTCCAGGGCAGATCTGGGTTGTGTGTGCGCGCGTGTGTCATGCTCGAGTTTATCTGGTGTGAGAAGCAGTGGCGGGTGTGAATGTGTCTGCGAGAGGGTGGGAAGGAGGAAGGGAGGGAGGGGGTGATCTTGGCAATGGGCGGGAGAGAACGAGGCGAATCCTGTCTCTTCCGCTTGCCAGCCTAATCTCAGCTCATTTTCTCCAAGCAATACAACTTCGCGGACGGCAACCTAAGCCAAGCCCGACTCTCCACCATGGACCCTCCAGGTAAACCAGCGCCCCGCGCGCCAGCCCCTTTCATTTTGATCCATTAAAAAAAAAAATCCAGATGGAGATAAAGACGGGATAGTAAAATTAGGAACTCGTAGGTTGGGGTATGGGAAGGGGGGGGCGGTGTCCTTCCTGATGGGCTTTTTAGAAAGGGAAAGCGATGGAACGGGGTGAAAGGGGTTCCTGTTAGTGACTCGGTTCAGGTTCAACTCTTCCGGAAGAAACTCGGGAACTTTGCAGGTGGTACCCGTTGCATTCCCCACGAGAGTTTAAGGAACGGATTTGCTAAAACTGGACAGGGATGCGAATCAAAGCGGAAACGGCCTTGTGGACCAGTTGTATGGGGGGAGGGGAGTCGAAGTTGGAGCGGAGTTTATCAGCAATTTCAAGAAAGCAGACATCTCCGAGTCCGAGGCACTGGGTTACATTAACTCGCGTTAAGCAGAAGCGCTCCCTTCGCAGATTTTGTTTTAATTACAACTAAAATCTAAGACGCGCTTGTGTTCAATGTTTTTTAAAAAGTTACATCTGGATGGGAGAATAGAACAAAAATGCCTAAGTGCTTTGGGATCGAGATAAAATGTCTGTGGTTATTGCCACAGCTTGCTGTGCCTGAGGAAAGAGGGAACCAGACAGGAGGTTGGGAGTTTCTTGTGTTTCGTGTGTGGAAACAAATCGTCTGCACCTCTATTTGTGGTGTGGGAAAGAGTTGCAGAGGGACCTCCCAGGTTGCTTCCCTTCGATTCCTGGCGGTGGGTGGGGTGGGCTGGGCAATGAGCCCAGGCTTATTCAGAAGTGCCATTGTTTTCCTTTAAAAAAATAAAGAGAGTCCGGCTCTTGCAACAAGCACTGCAAAAGGAGCGAAATGCTGAAAGAGCCCGCCCCACCCCTTGCGACGCCCTCAGCTCTCGCACACACTCCAAAGCGGGAGCTTGTGTGTCACTGTGAGAAACAGGGTGCTGGACTTAACGGGGCCGTTGTTCGGATCCACTAGGACCTTTCTTAGGTTATGTGGTGACACGTTCCTTGGCGGGAAACAGAGCGCAGCTCGCGCCCGCCCCGTCAAGGTCTTTTTGCCCGGTTCGCCTTCTGCCGTGTGTCTGAGAGGAGCCCTGTCCCGCTCCACCTCATAAAACAGACACCGAGTGGGTTTCTCCCCCCCCCCTCACACCACACAGGATGGACCTCGGGAGGGTCTGGCACTTTTTGTGAGGGGGGCGGGCGGGCTGAGGAGCTGGACTTTCTCGGCGCCCGCCTCACTTGGCTCTCTTTCGCCCCGCAGGCTGCAGCGCGCCTCCCGCCTTCCTGTGAGGCCGCCGAAGAAGCGCGAAAATTCAAGGCGGCGCCCGCTCGTTTCCCGCTCGCTGAGGCGCCCAGCCCGGCCGCCCTCCGGAGACTGAAGGCAGCAGCGCCCGGCCGTCGCCCTCCCGCCGCCCCCTTTGGACTCCGCGGCTGGACGGACGGGCCCCGCTGCGGCAAGACATGGCCGGGCGGCGGCTGTGGTGGCGGCGGCGGGGGGGCGCTGGCGGAGCCCGCGGGCGGCTACTCCTGCGGGGCGGTGGCGGCGGCGGCGCTGGCCCTACTGCTCCTGCAGCTGCCCAGCGGCAGCCCGGCGGTGCCGGCGCAGAACGACACGGAGCCCATCGTGCTGGAGGGCAAGTGTCTGGTGGTGTGCGACTCCAGCCCGTCCGCCGACGGCGCCATCACCTCGTCGCTGGGCATCTCCGTGCGCTCCGGCAGCGCCAAGGTGGCGTTCTCGGCCACGCGCAGCACCAACCACGAGCCGTCCGAGATGAGCAACCGCACCATGACCATCTACTTCGACCAGGTCAGGCGCGCCAGCCCTCTCCCCCCTCCCTCGAGCCTTTTCCGGCCTCTCCTGGCCGAAGCCCCTCCCTCAGGTGACTACGCCCCGCCCAGGCGGCGCCGGCAAACAGAGTCTCCTCCCACCTGCCCACTCCTTCCCTGCCTCTACCTTGCACCTCTTTCTCCAGGTAAGCCCTTCCTGCCCCGGCCAGTCTGCTCTGGCGCCCCCTGGCGTCCAGAAGAGGCGCTCTCCACTTACTTCTTCCTCCTAATTCCTCCCCTTTCACACTTAGCCCTCGCCCTTTGTTTACTGTCCAGCTTCACTCGTTTTCCTACCAGCTCTCCCCACTCCTAGCCCCATTGATCTGTCTCCTATTGATCCCTAACTCCCATCTTCTACACCACCACTCTCCCTGTCTATCCTTTACCTTGTTGTTGTCGTTTAGTTGTGTCCGACTCTTCGTGACCCCACGGACCAGAGCTAGTCCTGCCTTATTCCCATTCCAGCACAACTGCCTCCAGCCATGTCCAGCAGTGACCCCCCTCAAGCTCAAGCTCTTTCCCCAAGAGCAATACATGGCCTCTCTCCCACTAACTGATGGCGCCCTTCAATATCTGTTTTGATCTTTCTCCATTCTTTGTGATGCCCTCCCTCCTACTCTTTCACACCTTAGCTAACTGTAGGGTTGCCATATGTCCTCTTTTCCCAGGATGCACCCTCTTTTTTCATGGGTAGAGTTGTCTTAGTGATCCCTAGTTAAAAGTAGAAGTCAGCAAATGTGTCCTCTTTTTTGCTCTTCAAAATTTGGCAACCCTAGACTGGGCTTCTTCCAGTGCCCTCTAAGTTAGGGATAGAGAGCTTGTGCCCACCCCCCACAGATGTTGTTGAACTCCAACTCCCACCAGCTCTAGCCAATATGGCCCAATGAACAGGGATGAAGGCAGCTGCAGCCTGTCACTATCTGGAGAGTCACAGGTTCTTCTTACCTGTTTTAGTTCCACCTTAGTAATTCACTGTCAGCAGTCTGACAGTACTTGTGGCTCATCAACTTCTCTATGAAACAATAGCCATCACTTCCTCATTTTTCTATTCTGATGAGTGTCCTTTAAGTACCCCATCTAATGCTGTAGCTACCAACAAGATATCTTTGGGGGGACTCCTCAGTCTGTCTTGAATAATTATAACCACCAGTTACCCTGTTTTGAATAATTATAACCACCAGTCTGTATTGCCACAAATATAACATCCAATTCCAGTTTCTCCAGAGAGGTGGCTCTGGGATTTCCTGCCTTCCCTTATCTAGTCAGGCAAACCAGACAGGCATGCATAGAGCAGCAGCCTGGGGAAATCTGCAGAATTTGGGTGTAGTGCAGTGTGGGGACAGTGAAGGCACTGCAAGCTTAAGCTTTGCCTCTTGGCTCATTTGAGGAAACCTACATGCTTTTAGGATTGCTCTGTCTTATTGTTCCAGCCTAGGAAGAAAGAAGGGGGATGCACTGGGATTTTATGTAAAACCTTCCAAGTGAAAAGCATTCAGGTCATTTAGACTTGTTCAGCACAGATTATTTGTTTCTGTTTATGCATCCATCTGTCCAAGGATTGCTTTCTAATCATGATTACATGTGTATTCTATTATTTACCCATTGTGTTCTCCAGCTATTATAATCTTTTAGAAAAAAATATTTTGACATAGATTGGCAGAATATTTTTTTTTGTAGAATAATTCTACTGTCACCTTGCTTGCAGAGCTGTATAATGCTAGACACTATATACATACCGTTTTGTTTATAAAGTTTTTTCCTCCCTCTAATTCCATGATGTGTTGCCTTAAAATAAGAATTGTAGTGTTGGTTGAATAACTTAATTTTTTTTTAGCAATGAATGGGATTCTAGTTTCACAAATTCTTCTTTCACACTTTTGTATATGAGTTTTGAATCTGGACTAGATGAGCTCTGAGGTTGATAATCTTATGTAAGAAGGATAGCCAGTCTTTCACCAACTTCGGCATAGTTTTTACATTAATTTGTAGATATGCATACACACACAGGATATTGTGATACATGCTAGAAATTCTGAAAAAGGAAGTACCTGGCAGTCCAAACAGAAAAAGAACCATAAGAGCCAGAATCTGCGGCATTGCACCACTGAGCTTTGTGTGCAGTCTTAACCGTTCTTTGTTACAGAAAAGACAGCAGGAAGCTATGAGAGCTCTGCTCAGATGTAATAATAAGACCCCAGGCAAGTTGTTGTAACCAGTTACCTGGGAAGACAGATTAGGCAGATGATTTCAGATCTGATTCTGTAGGTAATGGAAATATCAATCATGCAAAGAACTGTAAACAACTCTTTAGAATGTTTTCTAATTCTAGGCCTGCCATGAGGTTGCCAGCCCCCATTTACATTTCTTTAGTTTAGTGTGACTTGCCTTTGGCCATAAGGAGCCATATTCGAGTTTGCAAATTATTGGGATAAGTCCTTTCCTCGTGATGGTGGTCATTACCTTTATATCCTGCCTTTCCTCCAAGCAGCTTCAGGTGGTGGACATGGCTCTTGCTGTAATGGTCTCCTCCCCATTTTATCACCACAACAATATTGTGAGGGAGGTTATGCTGAGAAAGAGATGGTGACTGGCTCAAGGTCACCCACTGAACTTCATGGGTATTTTAACCTTGAATCCCAAGTACTAGTCCAGCATGTTAACCACCACACTAAATTGGCTCTCTCGTGGATTCATTGCTTTCTCCTTCTTTTGTTACTCTGCAAGAGGCCTTTGAAACATTCATAACTTGGCTCAAAAGAGCATTTTCCATTACCCTAATTGGCAAATTGCACTCACTTTTACCACTAAGTCTATGCACTAAGTTCTCTGCGGGTTAAAATGCATCTTCCATACTTCTTTGTTCAAGCCTAATTGAATTAGTCCCTGTGCTTCAGGATGGGGTAAAGAGACAAAAGAGAATGAGGGGTGTAAATTTCAGAGAGAGAGAGAGAGAGGTTACTTATTTAAAATTTGAACTCCCTCCCACTGTTCCATCACATGTGACATGACTAAGTCTCATTTTGTTTCACATTAACATCACAAGCCCCAAGAGAGACAATTAGTTTCAATACTGTTACATGAAAATGTAAAATCCTGGGCGGATTTGTTTAATGGGATCTTTTCTCCCTTCGTTTTGCGTGTCTCTCAGCAATGATACATTACATTTTCTCCTCTGCTGTGAAGACACAGGCTGCCATCATGATCCTTTCATTCTCTCGAAGAGGCATTGGGTGCACCACTGTGTAAATCAATCAGCTGTCTGAACCAATCCTTTTAAAACACCTTGGAAAGTTATTTCGTTTCCCTGCAGTCCGTTTTAATTGTGCAGCAAAATGCCTGTGGCTTTGCACTGCTTGGGTAGCCGGTCGAGAATTCTCCCTGTCTCTCCCCCCACCTGACCTTCCCCATAATGAAGGCATGACCTAATTGCCCCCTCCCCTTTCATTCTTTTTTTCTCCAGGTATTAGTTAATATTGGCAACCATTTTGACCTGGCTTCCAGTATATTTGTAGCGCCAAGAAAAGGAATATATAGTTTCAGTTTCCACGTTGTGAAAGTATATAACAGACAAACTATCCAGGTATGTACTCTTCACTGGGGGGGGGGGGCAGTTTTGTTTTGTTTTTGCAAAGTGGCTCACATAAAGGCTTGTGACATTTGAATATACAGCAAAACGTCTCAAAGAAAAAAATAATCATGCAGTTGCTGTTATATTAATGTGATCTTATTTCAGCAGAGGGTTTTATGAATATGCTATTTTATCCATAAACTACTAGATATACCTAGTTCCCTCAGCCAGCACTACAGTCCCCCATCCCCACACTGGGCTAGCTGACTGGGCCATTTGGTAGAGAAGGTACAGGTGTATCAGTCTGAGCCAGGTTTGGAGCAAAGTGGTGGGTCATTTTGACCTTACACCCCCTCCTACTGCACGAGATATGTCTATCGCCTCCTACTCTGTTTCCCCACCCCCATTTGGGATCCCTGCATGTGGGAGACTCACTTATATACTGGGTTGGAATTTGATATTTGGGTGTGTTATATTGGGATGTAACAATGCAATTTTAAAAACAAATGCTATGCAAGACTGCTGATGTTGAATTTCTTTTGAATTGTAGGTAAGCCTAATGCAAAACGGCTATCCAGTGATTTCAGCTTTTGCTGGAGACCAAGATGTCACCAGAGAAGCAGCCAGCAATGGAGTCTTGCTCCTAATGGAAAGAGAAGACAAAGTGCATCTCAAACTGGAGAGAGGGAACCTCATGGGAGGGTGGAAATACTCAACCTTTTCCGGCTTCTTAGTCTTTCCGCTATAAAGGGATGTCAAGGAGAAGCCTGATTTGCAAGCTGGAACAAGGATCAAATCATTTTGGAAAAACATACACACACAAGATCCCTCCTCCCTCTCCCAGAACTTGGCTAGACACGCCAATAATTCCAGCCACCCAGTCAGACTGCCATCAGAGAATAATGACAAACCTTCTTGATGCCACTGTTTGCGTTGACTCTTGACTGTTCCTTGGGAAAACCTGCAGCCCCGATTAGTTTTAGACGACAGTGATCTTTAAAAGAAACGAAATTATCAACCTGAGCAATTTGTACCTGTGATTGTAAAGTCAATTTTGGATTTTATTGTTGGGATCATTGACTTTCCTCCCTTCATTCTGTTTCTGTTTCTGTCCTGAAGAGACATGCTAATTAGGACCACATAAAAGTAGTCCAAGGCTTATCCCCAAAGCCAGAAGAATCTGGTATCCAATGAAGTGTTCCTGTGATGCTTTCTCTTTTTGTGTTTGTATAGCCTTAAAAATATACCAAGACAAAAATAAGAATGGCTTCAATTTCAAACCTGTATCTTCTGGGGAAGGGATTTTATTTATTTATTTATTTTGGACATTACTGTGTCAAGAAGTGCTTTATCCAGTGAAGCAAATTTTGCACGATTGGAAACTACTTTATTTTGTGTTACTTGTGTTTTCCATCATCATTTCCCACCTTTTCTGACTCTTTTTGTGCTAAAGAAGCAAGCTAGATCGATCAATAAGATAAAGCAAGCATATATATGCCCTGTAACTTGCAGAGAAACTAACCAGTGAACTATTCTGCTTGCACTATTCAGCTGATCTATTAGAAGCATTTGTGGAGATCGAGGAAGACTTTGCACAATCTGATCCTTGAGTTACATTCTGGAAAGGAAATGACATTTCTGAATTGGTCTGACATTTCTAGACGCTGTTCCAGAAGGCTGTGAATATCTTCTTTGAACATACCGTAAATTATTTCTTTGCATTACTGGGAGTTCTTTGGTGCTTTCCTGATCTTTATTTGATGGATTTAATTACTAATGCTTGAATATGCAGTGGCTTGGCCTCTTTGAGTGTTCCAACAAATTATCTTCCCTTCAAATTAGGTAAAAACAGATCTGCAGTGAACTTGCCAGGATCCAACATACATCAACAGTTGCTGTTAGTATGTGTGACAAAATCTGGGATGTCAAAAAAGAAAGAAAGAAAATGCTCTGAAAGCTTACTATGGTTTATGTGGTTTAGCTATGAATACACCATAAATTGTATATTTTATTTTATTTATTTTATTGATGCTTCCCTGTTAGCATCCAAAGACTTTTGAGTAGTCTTAATCCAATACTGTATACCACAAAGGTCATTGATTCCAAATGATAAAAGAAGAAACCTCAGGTTGAATTCCAATTCACCTTCTATGTGTCAATGTAACCAAAATGCTGATGAACTTTAGATTCAGAATAAATGGGGTTCATGTCCAACTTGGCTTCTTTTTCACTTTCATCTAAGTGTCAAAAGTGACTGTGCAATGCAGGAAAAATGCTCAACAGTTGATTCAAGGAAGTCATTAGTGAGATTTTTTTTTTTTTTAAAGTTGAATATATATAAAATTGCTAAGCAGCTGGCTAGCTGGGTGGATGGGGATTTTATTTATTTCTTGTATTAGTTCATTTCCCCTTTCTCAAGGAACAAATCAAATGCAAATGAGGTTTGCAGAATACAAACAGTAAACAGGCTGCATTGCATGTTGAAATTATGGTGGACATGTTTTCATTGTAAAATTATCATTAAAAGGTCACTGTCAGTTAAAAAATATATTCTTAAAAACAGTTTCTCTACCTGTGTTAATTATAGCACTTTCAATTGTTTTGCTTTTTTTAAAAAAAGAATATTTCTAAAACCGGTTTGTGTTTTGATCTCACCACTCACCACAGTTTTTGTTTTTCAACTGCCTAAGAGGGCCCAGGAAATCTAGTCAGTATTGGCTTTGTGTTTGGAGTTGTTTCTAACTCAAACCCTGTACAGGTGATTCCCTACCATGTGCAGCATTTGATAAGAATCATATTTATTTTTGGGCATTTCTGAATTTGTGTATTTCATATTTGCATACAGCTTTGTATGCATGGAGTCTGGTATATGTCAGGCCCTTTACCTTTGCTTTTGTGGTGTGTAGACTGTATGGATAGGGCCTACCCACATTGGAATCTATGCATGCAGCTTCCTATGCCAATGTGAAGTTCAGGTTTGAGAAAGGTGGGATGGTACAACCTCAGTCCAGTTCTATTTATAGGGAATGTCCAGACAGGGCTTTAGTTTCCCTTGCATTATAAAATAAATTGATTTCCCCCATTCCAATTGTTTATTGCTTTGTGGGTTCCCTCTGTCCTGTAAACAGCGTTTCCATACACTCCGGCTTCCGTCACGATGTTTTGTTGTGCCAGAAGCGGCTTAGTCCTGCTGGCCACATGACCCGGAAAGCTGTCTGCGGACAAATGCCAGCTTCCTCAGCCTGAAAGCGAGATGAGTGCCATAACCCCATAGTCACCTTTGACTGGACTTACCATAACTGTCCAGGGGTCCTTTACCTTTTTTACCTCTGCCCTATATTTAGTGCCAGTCTAATGAGGCAACTTTAAAAAACTAATTCACATTTTTTAAAAAAGCAGTTTGTAGGGATTGCAGGTAATAGTGCATGAAAATTCTTTTGCATAGCATTTTACTTATGTGCACACTATGATTTGGTTAAAAGAAAACAAATCTGAATGCAACTGCAGGAACAATCACAGATTTCTTTTTTTTTTTTTAAGGATGTAAATTGTAAGCAATCTTTTACAGTGTGCATATTTGTGTCTAACACAGAGGAAGGAAATAATGCAATTCAAGTACAGAAAACTGGCAAATTCTGTAAAATACAGATACTTAAGAGAGGGACAATAGATTAGTTCTGCTTTGGAAGCAACTAATTAATTTGGTGTTCTACAATTTCAGGATAAATTTGGACGAGAATTTAAGAAGCATTCAAAATGCATTCATTTTCTTCAGCAGTTTATTTTTTATTGCAGCTACTGTAGAAAAGACTTGAACCACAAGTGGTGCAGGTGAGTCAGAGTTTGAAAAAGCAGCTTGGTGCAAAACCATTTATGACAGGAAAAGGTTGCTTTTTATGGAATGAGGGCCATGCCCTTTATTTCTCCTTCACTATATAACCAAATTATCAGAATAAATAAATTACCTGTATAGGCATGACCAGAATTTAATTTTCTTTATTATGAACAGGATATGTAGACAGGCAGATTCTGAATTTTATAGGCTATATATAAATCCATGAATAAGTGATACTTCTGGGTGCTATTTTTTTTTTTAAAAAATGGATGTTAACGCTGTCATTTCCTAAGTAGCGAGGCATGTTTGGCTTTTCTCGTTTTACTGTTAGTGGCCTGTCTTGATCTGTCTGTTACTGTGTCAGAAATTCAGCCCCACACTACAGAAGATGTGCGAAAGTGTCACACAGCCAGATAGCTGCAAGTTAGGAGACCAACCATATGCAGCTCATTTATGCTGGAGATTTCAGGGTTGGTTGGGAAGCAAGAACCCTAATTTATACAGATCCAATTCTAGCTTAAGGAGGCAGGCTGGTTTGGTCTAGTAGAATTGTTTTCCCATGTGGTGCTGGTGAGCAGTGGCATAGCTAGCTGCTCGGGTGCCCGGTGCAGGGGCGTGACCTGCAGCCGGGGGCGTGGTGATCTGCACCAATGGGGGCATGGTGATCCATCCATGGGGGCGGGGCGAGCCTCTCTGATGCTTGGAGCATCTCCGCCGCCTGCTCCTCAGCTGTAGGGCAGCTGTGGAAGAGGCAGTAGACAGAGGGAAGTCTCATGCTGCCGTTTTAGGCAGCGTGGAACCCGCAGGTGCCTAAGCCACCTTGCCACTCCTAAAAAATTTCATGAGCCCAATTATCTTTTTAAACTCATTTTGTCACCCCCTCCCCCAGTGATGACATCTGGGGCAAACCGCACCCCCCACAGCCCCCTTCTTCCGCCACTGCTGGTGAGAGCCTCCCTCTCTGTAAATCAGATTAAGTCACAATTTTATGTGATTTAATTGAGAGCTTGCTGTTTGTCGAACAAAGATAGCTAGTTCAGCATTGGTTTTGAGAATGCCTGGGCTGAAGTTCAGGCCGTCTACAATGCCAGTTCTTTTGACAGAGCTAGAATGTGTGTTTTTGAAGGAAGCTTTGCTACTTGCTCAAGGCATGTAGCAATTTCTTTCAGGTAAGTATCACAGAAGGGACACTGCTCAGGCTACTCTGTAACACAAAGGGAGCAGACAGGTGGGTAGACCGGCAACAAAAGAGTAAAGCCTATCATCTGAATGTGGCTATTGGAAACCCTAGCATTTGTCATTGAGAAGGAGAACACGAGGTTCTTTCTGAAATAATTTATATGTATTTATAACAGTACTTCACCCTACCTGAATCTGCCATGATCCATATAGTTTGGATGTCATCTCAGCTCCCTAATCATATCTCCAACCTTTGGATAATTTAGACTGTATTGAAAATGACCATATGTTGGCTCTCTGAATCATTATCATCTTATCATCTCCAGTGCATGCATGGGCTTGTTCAGCTAATATTGACAAAACTGTTCAGCAAGAGTGTGGATTTGTGATGACCTCAGTGTGGCTGCTCTTTGGGGGTTGGGGGAATGAACGTGTGTTATTCTCCCGTAGAGTCACATAGCTATGCAGGGAACAGTCAGTGGAGCTGTCAGCTAACAAATCAATTTTAGTTGATTAATCATCTGCTTTTAGGGCACATATTTATTTCTGAAGCTATTTTGCCTATAGTGTGTGACAGTAATAGGGAATGGAAAAACAAAATATTATAGGTAACCTTTTCTTCTAAAACAAAACATTTAAAATGGCCTTTTCTTCGAAGGATTATTGATAGTATTTGTTGGTATTTTGTAAGTTACCTTGATTTCCTTCAATATCACAACTTGGCACCTGTTATCAAAGCTTTAGGAACAGGCAGTCCATCAATTAAATGAGGCAAAGTTTGCCTTACAATTAGGCAAAGTTTAGATTATTAATTATACCAATTAAGGCATTGAGACTGCAGTTCTGTACACAGTTACTTGGGAGCAAGCCTACTGAACTCGGGGGGGGGGGGTCTTACTTCTAAGTAGTTATGCATAAGCATAAGGAGGCAAGCTTGCAGCCTGAATTTACACTTCTACAATAATTACATATAGTAATTATTATTAGGAAACTGATTCTTAGAAACATTC